TCCCATCAGCATGACAGAGGGGTGGCTGGTCCAAATGTGAGTGGCATTGAGACCCTGTGCCCCAGGTCGCAGCAGCACTCACTCATATTTGGCTGTCCCTCCCTTCAACTTCTGCTGTCCTTCTGGTGCCATTGCTCTCAGCAGACCTATACCTCGAGTCTCCCCTGCAGATATGCACTAATGGATTCAGTGACTGAAACTTCAGCTACAAATAATACAGATTAAAAAATCCAGGCAGAAACCATGCAACCACCATGACTGGTGCTAAACATTTCCATTCCATAGGAACATAGGGATTTGTCAAATTGGATCAGACTTGAAGCCCACCTGTCCAGTAATGCCCAGCACCAGCTACTTCAGAGGAAGATGTAAGAACCCCACAGCAGCAGATGTGGGATAATTTGCCCTTTACAGTAGGTCTCATCCTGGTCTCTATGGGTATGTCTACCCTGCAAAAAAACAAAAACAAAAACAGAACCCAACCCTGGCAGTAATTGGGTTTCAAATCCCAAGCAGGAACATCCACACAGCTGTTTTCAGCCCTGTAGACCAGGGCTCTGAGACTTGCTGCTGTGGGGTGGGTTTTTTCTCAGTGTATACGTACCCTATTAGTCAGAGATCAGCTTAAACACGGAAGCATGAGATGTAATATCCCTTCCAGAATTGTTGTTAGCAATAACTATGCTATCTCTAGATATTCTGGTTATCCATAGAAATATCCAATCCCTCTTTGAATCTTGCTAAATTCTTGGCCTTAACGACTCCGTGTAGCAATGGGTTCCACAGTCTGCCTACGCACTGTGTGAAGAAGTGTCTCCTTTAGTCAGGTTTTAACTTGCCACCTATTCATTTAATTGACTATTCATTCCAGATCACACTGCTTTTCGTTGTCTGGTTTCCTCTATTCTCCATTTGTACATTGTGTATTTAGATAGCAAGTTCTTCAGGGCAAGGACCGAGTCTTTTTACAAGTTTTCACTGTTGGCTTTGAATACTACAGTGGTGAGTGCTCCAGAACACAAGTAAACTCTGATGATCCCAACTCCAATTATCTGAAATTTGGATTATCTGAGGTCTTGTCTACACTGACACAGTGCTGAAACTTTCTTCGCTTAGGGGTGTGAAGAAACATCCCCCTGAACAATGCAAGTTTCAGCGCTGTAAAGTGGCAGTGTAGACGGTGCTACAGTGCTGGGAGCCGCGCTCCCAGTGCTGGTAGCTATTCCTCTCACGGAGGGGAGCTCTCTCCTAGCAGTTGAGCTTTATCATCAGCAGTGTAGACATACTCTGAAATTTGGAAATGTCGTCCAAACCAGAATTTTATTTTTTGAGAATTTTATTTTTCTGTTCAGCGGCAATTCGGCAGACGGTCCTTCACTCCTGCTCGGAGCGAAGGACCTTCCGCCGAATTGCCGCCGCAGATCGCGATTGCGATCGCGGCTTTTTTTTTTTTTTTTGGCTGCTTGGGGCGGCCAAAACCCTGGAGCCGGCCCTGGTTCCAATGCAGGGTAACCATCAATCAAACCTGAGAGAGAGAGATGAAATTTGAAAAGGCATTGAGGAGTAGATTGGACGTGAGATCAGATAGGTAGGATGGAATGAGCGTATGATACAATCTCCAAACGTTATTTCTTGCCACTTACACTAGGAGGAGCTACTGGCTACAGCAAACCTGAAATTAGCTGAAACCCAGGCAAGTCAGGTTAGATTTAGGCCTGGTCTATACTACACGGTTAGGTTGACGTAAGCTGCCTTGTGTCGACCTAGCTGTGGAAGTGTCTTCATTTAAATTCATGCTCTCTATGCCGATTTAGTAACACCACCTCCCTGAGCAGCGTCACGGTCGATGTAATTAGGTCGATGCAATGTTAGTGTAGACACTGCAATACTTATGTCAACTGTTACTGGCTTTCACAATGCCCCACACTGGCAATACAATTGATACTAGCGCTTCTGGTGATGACGCACAGCACTGACACAAGGAGCCAAGTGTGCACACACACAAGCGCTTCAACAACTGCGGTGGCTGTATGCTGACATTAGGTCATCATAATTGTGTAGTGTAGACATGGCCGCAGATGCCAAAGTTTTCTCTGCTTAACAGACCTTTAAAATGACCTTTTAGCAAAATGCCATGGAACTTCCTATGGTGTGAAAAAAACTGTAGGTTCCAAATTAAACTAAGCAGAAGGAGTTAGATTCTCAGTACATATTTTAGCAACCAAGCTGATCAGCTGATAATTTGTTAATCATGCATTTTCAGCTCAGTATTGTCAGTTTCTTCCAGATATATTATAAATCTAGATTTATAACAAAGATGAGTTAATCATGTTAGGAGATCAGAAATGAATGCACCATGATAAAGTCATGCCTTGTGGAAAATTTTGAAAAACTTCCTCAGCAGAGACTATTCTGCTGAGATCTGAGATTTGGTTTATTTTTCTTTGTGGACCAAATTCATCTCTTGTGTTAGTGGGTGCAACTGCTATTGACTTCAGTGGGATTGTGTATATTTACACCCAGGGTGAATTTGGGCTGTGGGTCTTTGTTCCTTAAATTGGGATACATCTGCCCATTGGTCTTATTTCCCACTGGCGGTCAGAAACCTGTTTGTGCCATCACAGTTGGGCTGCAGGGGAATTTTGATATCAGAAGGGGAAGATTGGTTTTGACACCACTTAAAATTTACCAAGGGTCATAGTGGAGTCCCCATCACTGGCAACTTTTTAATCAAGATTGGATGTTTTTCTAAAAGCTCTGCTCTAGGAATTATGTTGGGGAAGTTCTCTGGCTGTGTAATCCAGGAGGTCAGACTCGATGATCACAAAGGTCCCCTCTGGCCTTGAAAGATGAAGACGTGAAACCTGTTTTTGTGCCAAACGTCAGACTCAAATCAGCTTCCTTGAAAGTTTCCCACAACTTTTTACCAAGACTGAACTCAGATTAAAACAGCAAAAACAATAAAAACAGAGGCTGATTCATAGTCCTGCATCCAAACTCAGTGGTTTGGGCTGAGGTTCGCTTTATTGGTTGGATCCCCACAGCTGAGTTACCTCCTGGGATTGGGAGGACTGAGATAATGAATTAATGTTTGTACAGTGTTTTGAGATCTTTAGATGGAAGGCACCATGGCAGGGCAAAGAATTCTCGTGAATGATCCTGTTTCAATGCAAACAGCTTTAGCAACAATAAAACAAGGAAAAGGGAAAACGGGAGATATCAATCAGCGGAGCTGGTTCTAAGCAGCTCCTGTTTTGATTTCAGTCTTTATCCCCAAGATACAGTTCCAAAGCAAAAACCGCGAGCACATCAGGGAAATCTAGTGAGGCAGGTATAAACAATCAGTAACACTAGCTGGTATCAGGTCACAACTGCTCTCAAAATAATTAGGCAACTTGCCAGATTGCTTCAACAGACTGTCTGAGATGATCTCTATGTTCTCTTGGCCCAGGTCTGAAGCAGAAGGCCAGGTTTGGTCAGTGGAGTTACACCCGCTCATTCCAGCTACCTCATTCTCTCAAGCTTTGCACCACCATAGACACCTGTGCCAAGCGAGTGTGAAGTGCAATCAAATTGGGACAGCAGTGTTTTACGCTTACTTCGTACAGGTGTAACCAATGAGGCACAGTATGAGAGGGGGAGTTTTTGCTGTGTCTCTTTGTGCTCTGTTAATGATTTGTTGGATCATGAGGGGCCCCCATTTTGTATTATCCTACCAGCAGTGTTGCCAACTCTTGCCTTTATTGTTCTTGCTGCTGCACTGATCTCAATGGTATTTTATGTCAAGCCTTGCAGCATCTGGTGTTTTTCTGAAAGCCCCACTTGCTGGAGTTATGTGATTACATAACAGAGAATCTCAGCTTTCTTTTTTTAAAAAAAGGCCAGTGTTGCCCCTTTTGACCAAAGTTGCTAGTCACCGCTTGGGGCCCCGTGGGTGTTCCCGTGGGGAGCACAAATTGGAGCTAGGTATTTCTGTGATGCAGTTTTGCTTATTTACAAGGAATGTACGAAGTCCTGTGCCTCTGAATGCAGAGGGAATCAAATAGCAAGAAACAACTTGGGTTGCTCACAGCACCAAGCACATGCTTTTCAGCCTGCACTCCTGACCCAAAAAAACTCTCCCCAGGTTTCTTCTGGGGTCAGCCACATGCTTTCAGCTGCTCATTCCTTCAGGTTAGCTTCTAGTTCTCTCCTCTGTCTGATCTCAGTTTCTGTGTGTTTTCTTCCCCCCAATACCCAGTTGAACTCAACAGGTGCTGCTAGTCTCCAGGCAGACTTTAGTAGGCTTTGTTTTAAGTGTGTCCCCTTAACTGTCTCTTACAACTGGCTTAAATGGGCAACTTATTCACCCTTTTGACTCATCCCATAACAAAGTTTCACCTGCCCTAGCTCATTACAGTCAGTTTCTAGCCCTCATGGCTGCAGAGAAAAGCTGGAAATCACAATGTCTTAAGTCTCAAAAACCAGACAGCCAATAATTGATTATTTTGAAATTATCATGATTTTTAAGCTAGTCTTGTGATGTTTTTGGGGGGGTGGAGCTGACTATGACTGTCGAGTGCTGGGGGCTGGCAACAGTGTCCCAAGTCTCCAGTCATTGTGGTGGCAGGAAGTCACTTGTCTCTGTGGTGAGACTTGCTAATGGCAGGGGGCTAGTTTCCAGTGGGATTTCTCAGAGGGGTAAAAGTTGCTGCCCCCCTTGGGCTGGGTGCTTGGATAACTCTCACAAGCTAAGTAGGGCTGATCTGGGTCAGCATGTGGAGGGGAGACGACCCCCCCCCCTAAAACCCTGTTGTAGGGGAGATCAGGAGTAGCTGTGGGGGGTATTGTGACTGGGGGGGGGAGAAGGGTAGGGACAGCCCTGATATAGGGAAGACAGGTGGGCAGGCCCTCCTTCAAGCTCCTCCCATCTTCCATCGATCTCTCAGTGCTCGATCGTTCTTCCCTGGCCGCTCCTCCCGCCTCGATCTCTCGGCGCTCCGAGCCGGGACGGGGTGATTTGTCTCGGCGTGCGCTCGCTCTCCCCTGGGCCAGGCCGGAGCAGTCGCTCGCTGGCTCGGCGGCGGCGGAGCGGGATGAGCCTGGCGGGGGGCAGGGCGCCGCGCCGCACGGCGGGGAACCGGCTGGCGGGGCTGCTGAATGCCGAGGAGGATGAGTTCTACCAGACCACCTACGGGGGCTTCACGGAGGTGGGGGGAGAGGCTGAGGGGGGGAGCAGTGGCCCGGGGGGGGCTGTGAGGGGGCCCGGGAGGGGCAGTGGCCCAGGGGGAACTGTAGGGGGCTGGGAGAGGCTGGGTGGGGGCTGGGAGATGGAGCTGTGGGAGGGGAGCAGTGCCCCTGGGGGGGGGGGCTGTGAGGGGCCCCAAGAGGGTAGCGTGGGGGGCTTTGTGGGGGGAAATGGGCCCCTTGGGGAGCAGAGTTGGGGGGCGGGGGAGTGTGCAGCAAGGCCCTGTGGAGGTTGAGTTGGGGGGTTGTGGGCCACTTGGGGGACAGCTGTGGTGGGGCCAGTGTGTGTTGGGGTGGGGGCAGTGGGGCTCATGGGGGGGAGCATGCCTGGGGGAGTGGGACTCCCAAAGGGGCAGTGGGATCAGCTCAGCCGTGACTGTTGTTTGCCCCCCCCCCGGGCAGGAGTCGGGAGATGACGAGTACAAAGGCGACCAGTCAGACAGCGACGATGAAGTGGACTCGGACTTCGACATTGATGAGGGCGACGAGCCGGCCAGTGACCAGGACGATGACGAGCCCAAGAGGAAACGCAGGGTGGTCACCAAGGCTTACAAGGTGAGGACGGAGCAGCTGGTTGTGGTGCTGGGTGACCCAGCCTATGGTTGTATATTGGGGTAGCACCTAAGAGCACCCACCAGTCATGGACCAGGACTCCAGTGTGCTGGATGTTGTATGGACAGCGAAGAAAATGATGGTCTCTGCCCCAAAGAGCATCCAATTGAAGTACAAGACAGGAGACACCAGGTGGACGCAGACGGAGGCGCGCAAGGAAACAACAAGACAACCACAGTCAGCATGACAGGCAGTGGTCTCAACTCACCAGCTGTCTAACCGCTGTTTCTGATATAGTCGTGTTGGGCTGAGGGAGGGACCCACATGAAAGCTGCTGCCAAAACTCTCAGTTCAACCAGATTGTAATCTAGTTTAGGGGGTAGCCGGGGAGTTGGCAGCTATTCCATTTATAGGCTGTTTCGTTTATGATCAGCAGCAGAACCTTGAAAACATCTTCAATTAGTGCCTTTCAGGAGTGGGAGTGCAGACTCCTGGGCAGGACTCCTGGGTTCTATTTCCAGCTTTGGGATGGAGTGTGGCCTCATGTTTAACTAGGAGATAGGCAGTCAGGACTCCTGGGTTCTATTCTGGCTTTTGGAGGGAGTGATGTCTAGTGGTTAGAAACCGGCCATACTAAACAGACTGCAGCAATGGTCAACGTAAATCAGAGGTTGAAAATGTTCTTTCTGTAATCAAAGGTGTAACTAGTAATATGGGCAAAGCACTTTTCTTTTTAAAGGCGTTTATGTTGGCAGGGGCCCTCTCTCAAAAACAAGCTCCAAAATCCCTTGTGGCTCTTTATTTAAATGGGGTTGGAATCTCCAAAGCAGCATTAAATAGCAAGCCCCCAAGAGGTTCTATCTTTCATTGCATCACCTCTTTTCTGAACCCACTAGGAGCCCATCAAAAGCCTGAGACCCAAGAAGCCCGATACAGCTGCTAGCAGCTCCCAGAAGGTGCGAGAGGAGAAGTCTGCGCCCCTGGAACTCCAGGATGAAGTGGGAGACAGTAAGTGTGTCTGATGCTCATTAGGGTCAAATTTATTGCCTTTAGGTGAGCAGAAACCAGTTGTTTGTAAGGTTTTCTCGAAGCTGCTGCATCGATTTGCAGGGCAGAGGTTTGATTCAAGGTTATTCAAGTACAGCTGCTGGGTTGAGCTGTGATCCACAGAAAGGGAGGAATCATTGTGGGGCTGCTTTGCTGGTTTCTTGGTAGCTACGCTGTCTCTGCTTGCCTTACCCAATGTCCTGACTTTCCCTCCCACTCCTTGGGCTTACAGGCCGCAAGTACATGCGCCAGTCGACTACGGAGCACACGCGCCAGACCTTCCTGCGTGTCCAGGAGCGTCAGGTGCAGTCGAAGCGCAAGAAGGGGGGGACGAACTATGACAGGCCGCTGACGCAGGAGGAGCTGCTGGAGGAGGCCAAGATCACAGAGGAGATTAACCTGCGGTCTCTGGGTGAGTGACATGGGTAGGAGGGCAAGAGGCTGGTGAGGTCTTCAGGCAATAGCCCTCACCCCACTGCAGTGGCAGAATTGAGCCACACAAAGAAGAGACATGAGCGGCGTGGGGTCAGGGAGTGACATGACTGGGGTTAGGGGCTTATGTAAGAATGGGACTTAGAGCAGTCCGAGCCCTTGTGCTCCCAGCTGAATGGGAGGCCCTGGGAAACACACGGTCTCTTCACTCAGGTTGGCAGCAGGACCCTGGCGCACCAGTCAGGGCTGTACTGGTCCACTGGAGACAACATGATCTGATAGGCAGAGCACAAGGTTGGGAATCGGAACGCCCAGGTTCGAGTGCCAGCTGTGGAAGGGTGTATTATCTAGTAGTAGAACAGGGGACCTGGAGCTAGCACTCTGGGGTTCTGTTCCCAGTTCTTGAAGGGGAGTGGAGTCTAGTGGTTAGAGCGGTGTGGGGGTGGAATCTGGACTCCGGGTTTTATTTCTATCTCTGCCATGGGCCATTCATTTCACCGCTCTGTGCCTCGGTTTCCCCAACTTTAAGCGTGGATAATGCTACCCAAGCATTAGTTCTGTGGATGATGTATAGACGTGCCTAGGCACCTCCCCTCACCATCATGAATGGTTCAGAATTATAGGCATAACACAGGAGTTCTCTGGCTCATTCAGATACCAGCCACCCCTTATGGGAGCCCGTGTGTCCCTCCTTGTTCTCAGATCGCCAGGAAGGAGTTTGCAGACCATTGGTGACCTGCAACCTGCAGTGTGAGAGCTTCTGGTGTGGCACAAATCCCTCTGAAATGCTGGAGTCACAGTTAATGGCTCTTGCAGTGCTTCCATGTGGTACCTCCCAGTGTGAAGCAAAGAGCCCAGAGCTCTGAGGGCAGTCGAGTGGGCTCAGTAGCCGGATCGTTGACTGATGGTGTTTTCCAAGCTGCCCCATTGTTCCGAGCCCTGCTCCGTTCACCCTCGGTTCAATCGCCCTTGCAGAGACTTACGAGCGGCTGGAAGCTGACAAGAGGAAGCATGTGCAGAAGAAGCGGAAGTGCGTGGGGCCGGTGATCCGCTACTACTCGGGGACCATGCCGCTGATCACTGACCTCGGGGTGAAGGAGGAGAACGTGGATGTGGAAGGGTAGGTGTTGGGGGTTGTATTCACTCCTCCCATCTCCCTAGTTTGAACTCCGGCCCCTCGGGATGGGCTGCCAGCTCCCTCCTAGGTCTCACTGTCCCTGCTGACTCCTGCACTCTGGCTGGCAGGCACCAACCCCGCTTGCTAGGGGATTCCCCTTCGCCAGCTCGTGGGAGACGTCAGCCCCATCTTGCAGACCCCAGCCATTCAGTCAGTCCTCTTTGGCGTCCCAGCCTTTAGCTGCTTCTCTGAAGTGGATCCTGAGTCCCAACAGCCACCCATTTCTTTGTCGTTAGCAGCACGAGTGTGATCTGGATGCCCCGAGGCGACAGGTGTTTGGGCCCGGGTTAGTCTCTGGCTGAGGACAGGGGCCAGTTGTGGAATTCCCTCCTGGACCTAGGTTGAGTTTCAAACACCGCTCAGGCCCATGCTGCTCCCTAGCACCTCCCGTACTCCAAGGCTATCCCGGGTGGGGCTGGTAGGATTAGAACTCAGGCTTGGACAAGGCAGGGCCATGCCTCCTTTCGCTAGAACCTGCTGCCCCAAGCTGGGATTTGTGGGGGGTTTGCACCCTGACTTGTGCTCAGTAAAGATCTCCAGGCAACCTCTGCACAAGTGCCTGGTACATCCTTTGTCTCCCCCCGCACCTCTCCAAAAGCCCTGGGTGTCCTTGTGCCCCCTCATCCCCAGAGCCCTGGACGTTCTTACTCCCGCTGTTGCATTTGAAGCTCGAGCTGATTCATGTGTTTTCTCCCCACCCCCAGGTTGGATCAAGACATGCAGCAAACAGCAGAGGCTCCCCAGGCTGCTGCCTCCCCGGCTGGCAAATGCTCTCGTACCTTCATCACCTTCAGCGACGACGAGACCTTTGAGCGCTTCTTCCCTAAGGCCAAGCAGCCCAAGCTGCCCGTGAAGGAGATCTGCCCCGTCACCCACAAGCCGGCCGTCTACCGGGACCCCATCACCGACATCCCCTACTCCAACATCCGGGCCTTCAAAATCATCCGTGAGGCCTACAAGAAATACATCACTGCCCATGGGCTGCCCAATGCGGCGGCTTCTGCGGCCCTGGGGGCGGGGCCACCTGCAATGGATCCAAATGTCCGGGCAACCCGGCAGAAAATCATCATCAAACAAACCGTCCCGGCCACATAAAGCCCAGGAGTGTCTGTTCCCTTTCCAGGAGGGAACTTCTTAAACGGACACAGGCACCTTTGGGTGGCTCAATATTGACCCACCCCTCCTTCTTCTTCCTTACGTATTTTTGTTTTTCAAACTCAAACGGGTGGTGGTTCATTGCTCTTTATTATTTTATTTTTTTAATAAAAAAAGCAATGCCTGCAGCGGTCCTACCAGATCAGACCAGCGTGCACAGCCCCTCTCTCCTGGGAGACCCTACGAAAAACAA